ATACATTTCCTCCACCTCCTAATCGGGATGTGCCGAGGTTGGTGCGTAAACCTGTATCGCGTTCAGCGAATACCGCTTGGTGATTCTGAGTATAAGGTACGCAACCCTCGTCGACACACTCTCAATCTTTACAACGTTGTTAACGAGAGACTTGTGGACGATAAATCCGACACCTCCTTGGGACAGATGGTCGCCCTCCCGGTGATAGAGCAAGTTGCCGGATTCGAGGATTACCGTGTCCTCCCCCTCTCTTCGGACCTCGAATAATCCTATAATATGCCAGCGTAACTTGTCTATCTCTTCTTCCAGCTCCACGATCTTCTCGTCAGTCCTCAGGGTGCGTGCGTTGTATGTTGCCAGGTCGAGTCGTCTTAGGTGGCAACCGAACTTCCACCGGAGATTCTTAGCACCCCCTGCCCCGCCGTTACCATGGTTGCCACCGTAGCGGGCATAGCGGGATGGAATAGCGGGGCCGCCGGGGAATGGGGGCCGTCTCTTTGTTGCTCTTATCATTAAGGGGTATTTGCCATAGTTGCCACGCTTGGCGAGCGGGTTGGCAACCGCAGTTTTTTTTTGTACTTTTGCTGTTATCAGGAAGATGCTGCATCCCATCTCCTGCCTGTTTCCCTTTGTCGCCTTTTACGACTCCCACGGGAAAATATGGGGTAGTGGATATTCTTAACCGCCACTACACGGCCTCGGTCTTATGAGGCGCTATTTCTAGACCCAACTCGTGGATTTTGGCGACGAGACTTCTGTCTCAAACTCAGCAAGCTCCTTGGTCCCCTCGAATGTTAACCCCGCTGGCGACCACCAGTGTGTCATCGGCATAGCATACGATATTTACGCAAGCAGGAAGGTCGACACGCAGAACCGCATCGTACGCGAGGTTCCACAGTAGCGGACCCAGCACTGAGCCCTGCGGAATCCCACGTTTAATCTCCCTCCGTATATTCCTACTATCTTGCCCCATGTACAGAATGTGCAAGTAGTCTCCGATTAAGCATTGCAGGTAGGCAGGCACCTGGTGATATGCTAATGCCCTCCGTATTGTATCCCAGGGTAGAGAGTTAAAGGCGTTGACAATATCAATAATTATCGCCAACGCCACACCACCCTGGGATACTGCTTGTTCCGACAGGGAGCGGACGCGCATAATAGCATCTGTGGTGGAACGCTCCCGTTGGAATCCAAATTGGCTATCTGCCAAATCGGGACCGACGCGCGACAGATATCCGTTGAGCCGAGTGGCAACTATCCTTTCGAACAAGTTCCCAATCTCGTCCAACAGGCATATGGGACGGTACGCAGAGGGAGAATCGGCGGCCCTACCTTCCTTCTTCAAGAGGACCCACCTTGCTTCTTTCCATGCTGTGGGGAACTTGGCACTCCGCAGACAGCCGGTAAACAGCTGTCTTAGCCTGTCCCCCAAGGCAGCCAGACTCAGTACCAGAGCCCGATCAGGAATTCCGTCAGGCCCCGGTGCTGTGTTCCGGGCTCTCAAGCGGCTAACGGCTCGGTCCAGCTCCTCCACGGTCACCTCCATCTCATCATGCCACTCCAATGACGACGGCAGGTGACCTGAGGGACTTGACTGATCCTCTGGGAAAAGCGTGCCGATCACTCTTTCCAGCAGGTCCGGATCGAGAGTTTCCGTCAAGGGCAGCGACCATGGCCGAAATTTCCCAGCACCATCCTGTACGGTCGCCCCCAGGGATCTTCGTTGATACTTCGTTTCCATACGGCGCGGCTGGTGTCGGCCGATCTCCGAGACCACGATATTGAAGTTTGGCTTGCCACAGTCGCCCGACTTAAATCCTATCGAACATTCCTGGGACATGTTACAACTAAAAGCTTTGAGAGATTTTCCGCCAAATTTGAAGACGGAACAACAACTTTACCGTCACTTTCGAAAAATTCCGCAACTAATATTAAAACCTATAAATTAATTAGAAAGACCCCTAAACGGTTTAATTTGCCATGGATTGATGACAATATTACTCGTCTTTGTGATAAAAGGGACAAATTATATCGTAAGTGGAAAAATAATCCAAATATTTCTAAACTAAGACTAGAATATAGTAAAATACGCAATAAAGTACATAGAGTTCTCGAAACCAAAAAGAATACATATTATATTAAGCAAATGAATAATAATTTTGAGAATATTAAAAATAATTATAATGATGTTTGATGCGCAGGGACTTACCTCCAAAACTATTGCAGATAACTTCGCAAATAGCTTTGACAGAGCGGTAAAAAGTATAAATCCTAATTGTTTAATAAAATTAGTAACAACAATAATACATCTTTTTTTTTTTTTAAAAACGTTACCCCCACACTAGGATTTTCTCCTGTGCAGTTTACAAACATAAATTGCACAAGGACAAACATCCAGACCCGGAACAATTATTTGTAGGCCATACAAATACTTGTTCCGTGCGGGATTCGAACCCGCGGCCCCCAGCGCAACAACTGATTGCTAAGCCACTGCGCCACGGAGCCGTCAAACATCTAAAGTCTTAGACTCCAGTATCTTATTTCGGAAAGCGACCACCAGTACTATTCATAAAATTATTAAAAAATTAAACTCAAGAAAGGCGCCAGGTGCTGAAAATATTGTGATTTCTGACATTAAAATGATTGGGGAATATATTTCCCCAACCATTTCTGACCTAATTAACAGTAGCATTAAAAGTGGTTTGTATCCTGATCAATTGAAAGAAGGCTGTGTCAGACCTGTGCATAAGAAAGGAAAACGTGATGACTACTTAAACTATCGCCCAATTACATAACTTTCGTCAATAGATAAAATTGTGGAAAAATTCATAGGCGAGCAAATACACAAATTTTATACGAATAACACTGTAATAAGTCCATATCAGTTTGGTTTCCAATCAGGAAAAAGTACAACAGGTCCTTTATCAAAATTCACTGATGATGTCAATTTAGATGACCTAAATAAAAAAAGACAGGTTCTTGACCTATTTATTGACTTCTCACGTGCTTTTGACACCATGTTACATGAACTTCTTGTGGATAGATTAGACAAATGTGGCGTACGTGGTCCATTGCTTAATTAGTGCCATAATTACCTTAAGAACCGAAAATCTTTTGTGAATATTGAAAATAGCTACAGCGAGCCGATGTTGATGACGGAGGGTACGGCACAAGGTTCGGTACTAGGACCCTTGCATTTTTTGTCCTACGTCAATGACATGGGCAGCTGCATCGTTAATTGCACGTGCTACCAGTGACGACACTTGCCTTGTAATTGGTGATAAAAGTCCACAAAAGGCTTGTGACCTTTTACAGTCTGACCTGGATATCCTAACAAGGTGGTGCGTTGATGCTGGGCTTGTCTTTAGTGCTAGCAAAACTAAGTTGTTAGTAATTAAATGTCCGTACCTAAAATCCACTTCATTAAAAAAAATTGTCGCACACAATCACACCTGCCCACATAATAACAGCGCTGCTGAATGTTGCTGCCCAGAAATTGATACAGTTTGTACACAAACATATCTCGGACTAGTTATTGACAATAACTTTAATTGCAGACAGCATATTGAACATGTATGTACTAAACTAAGACAGTTTCTAGCAAATATCACTATTCTCAATAATCGCATTCCATTTAAAATAAAATTAATGTTATATAATGCACTTGCGGAGTCGCACATTCAATACGAGCTAAGTAGCTACGGCCGAACTAACAAAACATATCTTGACCAGATCCATAATTTACAAGCAAGAATACTTAAAATCATAGTTCCAAATAAAATAAAAAATAAAAGAAATATAAAATATCCCTAGATTCTGTTAGTGTGTACATTAAGCCTGCGAGAGAATGAACCCTTAATTGTTAATTGTATATGTGTAATATACTTTGTATATGATGTATATGCGCACTGGTACTTCGAAAGAACGGGCAGTAATAAATCAGCTCTCTGGCAGTACGGTTGTTTCATTTAAATCGCATACACTACATTTGGCGACGAGGTGTGTACAAGTACCCACAAAGAAAAAAAAATGGCTTACATCGGAAATGTACCGAACTTTGACTATAAAAATAGTGAGTGGTCGATTTTTAAAGGAAAATTGACGCAATTTTTCAAAGTCAATAACATCAGTGGAGATAATAAAAGTGCAATACTTATAGCAAACTTCTCGGATGAAACCTATCGACTCGTACGTAACCTTGCGTACCCACGCGAGATAGCTACGCTTAGTTACGGAGAACTGGTCGAATTACTCGATAAGCACTTTGAGCCAAAGCACAGTTCTTTCGTAGACAAAGCAAGATTCTACGGAGCGACAAGAAACCCAGGCGAGCCATTAGGAGAATGGGCGGCGCGACTACGAGGCCTTGCAAGTTATTGCAACTTTGGTACCGCCTTAGAAACGGTTCTGTTGGATCGTTTCGTCCTAGGCTTGGGGACGGGCCCCGAGCGGGATAGACTATTCGAGCAAGATATTTCAAGTCTATCTTTTGCAAAGGCTTTAGAAATAGCTGTACAGGCAGCTTATACGAGAGAGGCCAAGGCTCTAGTAAGCAGCGAAACAGGTATTAACATCAAGGAGGAGCAGGTATATTACTCAGCTGGCGAATCTAGTCGTCGGAGCGGCGGGAACCGTTGGAGAAGCAGTGGGGGCATGCATGTAGGTGCTGCCGATGACAGTGGAAGCAGTGGCAGTGGCAGAGCGAGTGTATCTCGTAACGGGTGTAAAGAAGAGGTTACAAACCGTTGCGGTGTATGTGGTTTAAAAACACATAGTGCAGAAAAGTGCCGTTATAGGACCTATCGGTGTCAAAAGTGTGGTATTAAAGGTCATTTAAAAAAATGTGTAAAGTTCGCGTAAACAACATCAATACCGTTACGGAGGAAACTGAATCAGATGGAGACTGTGGGGACTGCATGGAGTGCCGTTTGCATAATATGAGGTATGAGACTTTGGCTCCTATTACTGTGGTGGTGAATATTAGCAATAAAAACTTTCGTATGGAAGTGGACTCGGGATCGGCCATTTCAGTTATGTCCGAACAATTTTTTTTGCAATACTTTCCTACCGTAACATTGAATTATAAATGTAATATCCGAATATGTGTTTATAACGGCCATAAAATTACGCCTTTAGGTTATTTCTGTACAAAGGTAAAATATAACGGTTTCATGAAGCAATTAAATTTCTTTGTTATAAAAAATGGTGGGCCACCACTTTTAGGGCGTGATTTTATGTCTCAATTTAAAATTAAGTTGACATCAGTTAATAATAATAACATTTTAGTGGACAGCTATGAAAGTGAAGTTCAAAATTTATTAAATACGTACGCGGACTTGTGGAGTAAAGAACTTGGGGCATTTAATAAATTTAAAATCACCTTGCACCTTAAAGATAACGCGGTACCAAAATTTTTTAAGCCACGAACTGTGCCTTTTGCTCTGAAAGACAAAGTAAATTAAGAAATTGACCGATTAACACGTGCGGGCATTCTGATTCCGGTAAATTACTCTAAATATGCGACCCCTATCGTACCTGTATTAAAAGAAAACGGTAAAATAAAGATCGCAGGTGATTACTCATTAACATTAAACAAAGACCTACTAATCGATAAATATCCTATGCCGCGCATAGAGGAAGTCTTCGCGAAAATAGGGGGTGGCGAGACATATACGAAAATTGATTTGAGCAACGCTTACAATCAGTTTATATTATGCGAGGAGTCACAGGAACTTACCACCATTAATACAACCCGTGGCTTATACAAATATACCCGGCTTGTATATGGTTTGGCTAATGCGCCCGCTATTTTTCAAAGGACATTGGAAACCCTGTTAGCAGGTATTGAAGGTGTTAGTTGTTGGCTAGATGACGTTTGTATCACGGCCCCTAACAAGCAATTACATTTGAGCAGGTTACGTGAAGTCTTAGGTAAGCTTAAAGATGCAGGTTTAAAATTACAAAAAGAAAAGTGTGATTTTTTTAAACGCAGTGTTACGTACTTAGGTTACGTCATAAACAGACAGGGCCTTAAGACGTGTCCAAAGAAGATTGAGTCAATTCTAAGCATTCCACGACCACAAAATATTTTAGAAGTAAAACGGTTTCTAGGCATTATAAATTACTATCGTAAGTTCATACCTAGGGCATCAGCCATATTACATCCATTCCATGAACTACTCCGTAATGATGCAGCGTGGACTTGGAGTGAGCGTCATGAGAAGGCGTTTATACAAGTTAAGCGTGAACTATCATCAGACCGAGTGTTGACGTATTTCGACCCGAGTGCGCGACTTGTGCTCAGTGTGGACGCGAGCCCGGCCGGTCTTGGTGCGGTGCTGGCGCAGGGCCCAGAAAGTAACGAGCGCCCACTTGCTTTCGCTTCCAGGTCTCTTACAGCCAGTGAGAGTAATTATAGCCAAATACATAAAGAGGCTACGGCTATAATATTTGGCGTTAAATATTTCCACCAATATTTATTTGGTCGAAAAGAACCTTTTGTGCTGAAAACAGATCATCGGCCCTTATTAGCCATATTTGGTAAGAAAAATGGAGTCTCGGTAATGGCGGCATCGCGCCTCCAAAGGTACGCACTATTTTTGTCAGCATATAATTATGTGATTCAATACGTCTCTAGTGATAAAAATGTGGTAGCGGACTATTTTTCTCGGACACCTAATGATAAATGCTTAAGGGAATCAGATGACCACGAAAATACGTCTTATTTAAAGTTTTTGGATGATACGATGTTGCCTGTCTCGTTTAACAATATACGAGATGCAACTACACGGGATAAAACATTGCAAACAGTAATTAAATATGTTCGTAATGGTTGGCCTCGAAAAGTCCGTTGCAGAAACATTCAACCGCATTTCAATTGTAAAACAGATTTGGAGGTGGAACACGGTTGTCTTATGCGGGGTCATAGAATTGTTATTCCAAAAATATATAGGGATCGTATGTTAGAAGAGCTTCATAATGGTCATTTAGGAATAGTTAAAACCAAAGGCATAGCGCGCGGTAAGATGTGGTGGCCGGGAATCGACTCTGCTATCGAGCGATTAGTGTCGAGCTGTAGCGCATGCAGCGCTGTGCGGCCTGAACCACCACGCGCGCCCCCCGCACCCTGGCCTCGCGCGGCAGCCGCCTGGGAGCGCGTGCACATAGACTAAATGCAACTCTGACACCGCACGTATCTCGTTGTTGTAGACAGTTATAGTAAATGGCCCGAATGTCTCCACATGTGCAGCACTATGTCCACTAAAATGTTAATATAAAAACTTAAATATTTGTTCTGTACTTTTGGTTTACCTAAGTTATTAGTTTCTGACAACGACCCAAAAATATGTAATGCAGAATTTCGATTTTTTTGTAAAGTTAATGGTATTAAATATATGACGTCTCCTATTTATCACCCCTGTAGTAATGGCCAAGCCGAAAATTCCGTACGCACTTGTAAGAAAATGCTTAAATGTATCCTCAGTAATAATTTAAATGTAAGCAATGAACGAATGAATGAATTGTTGTTAAGATGTCTATTCGAATATCGCAGCAGCATTCACAGTAGCACCGGTGAAACACCCTCAAAATTAATGTTTGGTCGTGAACCGCGAACGCGATTAGATTTAATTTGACCACCTACGAATACAGACATGCAAACATCTTGTGATAGTAGTGTAAGGCGGTTTAATATTGGTGAAAAGGTTTGGGCGCGTTGTTATACGTCCCGTAAACCATTTTGGTCCCAAGCTACAATTGTAAGTAGAGAAGGTAACAGAATGTATACGGTTTCAGTTGCTGGTCAAGGTGTTTGCAAGCGACACATAGACCAACTGCTGCGATATACGGAAAGATACAAGACACCTGAAACTGCGAATGACGTATGTTGTGCATCAGCATTTCAACCGCAGTATCCGACTGCCATCTCCCCTGCACCTCTTCCCGTTGGTATGCCGGGTAGTATGAATAACGCTCCGCTAGTCAATACAGCATCTACGAACACGCATTCTAACGCCGAGACATCTCCACAGGAAGGCAGTGAGCCAACTTTAATGCTAGATGAGGATAGAGGAGAGGCGGTGGTGGCAGATCGGCAGAGTGTCTCGGTGGAGGGGATTGTCGATCGGCAGGATGGCGGGGAACAATCAGAGTCTGGTTCTGTTGCACCTAAGCCCGGTCCTTCCGCGCCACATAGCGATACCGAACAAAGCATCCCTCGCTGCCGTTATAATCTAAGACCAAGAAAAAAAAAATTGTAAAATAATAAATTACTTTTTTGTTGTTATTAGGTTTTCAAATTAATGCGGAAGGGGTGATGTATATGCGCACTGGTACTTCGAAAGAACGGGCAGTAATAAATCAGCTCTCTGGCAGTACGGTTGTTTCATTTAAATCGCATATACTACAGTATAACATATTTACCCCCCCCCCCCCCCCTTACTGAACATAAGGTACATCTACTCAGGGTTGACAATATATCTAAATTTTGATTCTTAATCGGTTATAGATATTGATGTAGGACAAGGTGTCTGTACACGCCCCTAGCTGCCCCAACCAAGACTGACGGGATTAGGGCCCATGAGCGCGCCCTCTCGCGTTCGTTCTTGAAATTAGCGTTTAGCGCGAACAGTGTCTATACCACAACTAACGATCTGTACACTCTTTTGTCACCCTTACTTGTATAGCAATTAAACTTTTCATTAAAAATCAAAGCCTACTTGCACACTAACGAAAACAAAGAATTACAAAGAAATAAATAATTTCCGCATAAAACCTAACAGTGTTAACTCATGGTAGGTATATAGACGAATTAAGTCCAGTGGCGTAGCTATGTAACCAAGGGCCCCGGGGCAAAAATAAAATTGGGACCCTATTTAAACTAAACTAAATACTTTAAAGGTGCAAAACTACTTCATCATCAGCTCCTTGTTGCCCACTGCTGGGCATAATAAAGCAAAGCTACTTACTACTAAGTATTATGCGTTACTCATAATCAATGACGAAATAGATTACAGTTTATAATATAGGCAGACAACATAACAGTGGAAGAGCCACATGGCAGCTTTTGCTGTCGCTCGGGTGGACCAGACTAGATGGAGTGACGAACTGGTAAGATATGAAATCAAGAGCTGTAATGAATGCATGACTGGGTGTCTGAAATGAAATGAATAAATGAATGGGTGGACCAGCTCGAACCGAGGGGGTACAACCTTACAGATAACCAGCGTGAAATAGAAGTTTACTTCGCCTGGTAAATGCAGGTAGTCGGAGGCCTAAGCCCTCTCCCTCTTGACTTGGTAGTGTAATTAAATAAGAATTAATGGAGAATCCCTGGCTAAGCATTCACGTCCAAGTTAATCTACACTTCCTTAGCGCAGGTGCTACGGCTGCCTCGTGTATACTGGGAAGGGGGGGGGGGGTGAAATTTCGCTTAGGATTAATACTGCTCGTGACAAGTAGAGTAATAAGATAAAGGTGATCCCTGCCACGCTATCCGTGAATATCTGCAACATCAGGGGATTTCATTCAAACGTTAACGAAGTCCACTAGGTACCATCTGAAGACGGCGAAGCCGACCTTGCTCTTTCTAACCGAGACGCAGGTCCTCTCCGGTCGATAAATCTCTCCTATCCGGGGTAAAAATTAGAACACCTTTGTGCCTCAGGCTGGAGTTTGCGTATACGCCAGAGGGGACATCTATTCTCGACGCCTCGGCAGTCTTGAAGATCAGCGACGAACATCCTCGCATCTGCAGGTGCCCCTGTATGTAACGCCGACACAGATCAACTCATCGACCACGTCCAAATTGCTGCAAACTCCGTGATACAACAGGTCCCATCTGCAGAGATCGTAATCCTTGGTGATTTTTACGGCCACCACGCTGAATGGCTTGGTTCTCGTTTAACCGATCATGCGGGAAGATCTGTTCATGACTTTGCCTTGGCATATAGTCCGACACAGATGGTTACTTCGCCTACATGGATTCCAGATGTGGAGGATCATGCACCTTCCCTGTTGAACCTTCTGCTGATCTCTCATCCGGACGGATATTAGGTCTCTGTCGACGCTCCTTTTGGCTCATTGGACCATTGTCTGATCCGGACTATGGTGCCAGTGACACGATGGCGATCTGCAGGATAGTTGCGTTCTGCAGATCGCTACCTTGTTTGGCACCATAGGTCGGCCAATTGGGACAGGATGCGGTCTCTTTTTGCATTCTTTCCTTGAGAACAGGGGCGGGTATGCCTCTCGCCGTATGATCCCAATGTGATTCTGTCGCTGATATGGTACTTCAGGGAATGGAACTGTTTATTCTATCATCTGTGGTGCCGGGTTTGGTCGCTCCTGTAAAATTGCATCGCGGTACAATAGGGCGCCAGCGCTGTTAAAAAGAAGTATAACTTCGCCTTCAGGTCGGTACGATACAGTTTACACAGCGCTTAGTGCGCATAGTACTACTCTC